AGAGAAGCATCTCATAGGAGTGCAGGGGTAAAGGACGTGAACTCTGGTTCAGATCCCAGCTCTGCTACCAGCTGTGTGATCTCGGACAAGTTACTTAGCCTCCCTAGGCCTCAGTTTCTTTATTTGTAAAACAGTGGTGATCATGATGAAACCTACTTCAGAGGGTTGCTGAAAGGATTAACTGAGTTAACATTTGCCACGTGCTTAGAACAAAACCTGGCACATATAAAAGCCCTATGCAGGTGTTCATTTAAATGAACAAATGAATTGATAAATACGTATGTGAAGTGCCAGTATAGCCATCTATCAAAGAAGGAATCACATTTTAGACTGGCAGGGCCTTGGGAATTGCTTCTAATGTGATTAGTGATCTGGTTGAAATATACAAAAATCAGTAGCAATAGTGACAGTAAATGGTGAACACAGTGCAACAACCTGTCGGCCCCTGTGCTTACTGCTTCACACACACAGACTCGCTTACTCCCCGCCAGGGCCCGACAAGGGAAGGGAGGTCCTATTTTTACCACCATTCTAGAGATAAGGACACTTAGACCCAGAGAGGTTAAGTGACAGCTCCAGGTTCACGGCCACATCTCTCTTGACTCAGGAGGCAGTGCTTAACCACTGCAGAGACTGCCCCTCTCCGGCGAAGGCATTCCTGGGCACCCGCCAAGTGCTGGACACCAGCTAAGCAGATGCATAACAGGGGTGTCACCCCCACCCTGCCTTGAGATGGAGCCCCTTGGCTGTGGTGGTTAAATACCTTATCAAGGGTCTCCTCGGTGGGAAGGGGCAAAGCCTCACCTGGAATCCAGAGGTTCTAACTTCTAGTCCAAAGCTCCTCCAACTCACACGGGCCAGCAAACTACACCAGGGGGTGCAGTCTTTTTCTTTTTCTTTTTCTTTCTTTCTTTCTTTTTTGAAATTCAGTTTCATTGGAACGCAGCACACCCATTCCTTTACATACTGTCTTCCGGCTGCTTTTCGGCAATAATAGCAAAGTTTGGTGACCACGACAGAGACCACAGGGTCCACAAGCCTAAAACGTCTGGGTCTTTGCAGAAAAAGTCTGCAGACCCCTGCTCTACACCATTAATATCTTCATGTTTAATAAATAGGGTTAATTATAAGTGATAGCATCTGTGGTGTTTACAGCATGGATAAGAAATAACTATTTTAAAGGCTTGCTTTTATGCCCCATGTGGACACAAACTGCCACAGAGTGTTTCTAAAGATTGCCGAAACCAGCGGCACATCTGGGATGTAAAAAGATTGAGGTTAGTTTTAAAAAGTGTTTTGGGCCCAAGAGGTCTGAGATTAACCACGTGGAAAGAGGTGGCATACTGATTGCAACTTTTAGGAAGAAAGTGCCCAGCTAAGTAACAGCCATGTGTGCTTAAGACAATACTTGGGTTTTGGAGGGACACAAGACAATAATATTTCTATGTGTCCTCTTGGTGGTGCCCAGTACAGGCCTGGCACACGGTCCAGGTTCATACATATTTGTTTATGTGAACAAAGTACACAAAGCTCTTCCCTCCCTATTTACTGGCTTATTAGGTAGGGATTTATCGGATCTGGGAAGCTTCTGGAAAGACAGAGGTCTCCCAGGTATGGGCATGGGGCAGAGCAGGGAGAGACTTGGACCCTTGCAGAAGATGGGGTTCTACCTTGCTTGGGAGCAAAATAGCCAACGAGATATATTCTAAGCTCCAGATAGAGTATGTGGTTTCATTACCAATAATGTGAACAGCCAAAGTCCGTTTGGCAGTAGTTTTGTGCCAGGCTCTGCAGGAGCCATCAACACATTCCTTCCTCAGGACCACCCTCCTGATGGATGGCCGTTTCTCCACAGCAGTGATTCCTCAGCTCCTCTTTCCTGCCCAGCAGAAGCCCCCTCCCATGATGAAGACAGAAAAAGGCAAGTGCTTTTATTTTTTCCCCTTCCTCCCTTGCAGATGACATAAAAGGGAAAGCCTTCTCGAGGTATCCTGGGAAAGAGTTCCTCCCCAATGAGAGACTTAATGAGAATCCCTGTTCTTCTCTTTCCTGCCTTGAGCCTTGTTCTGTGAAGGTGTGATGTAAGGAGCTGCAGCAGCCATTGTGTGATCAGGAGGGGAAGGCCAAGAGAACTGCAGAAAAGCCAGCCCAAAGGCTTTCTGAGGCACTGTATCAATCCTGGAACTCTTTCCTTTCAATTTCTTATTAAGTGAGAAAAACAAATCTCTTCTTGTTTAAATCTCTTTTAGTACAGTGTCCTGTTACTTGAAGCCCAAAGTGCCCTGAGGGTAAGTTCCAGGATTGTCTCCATTTTATAGATGAAGAAACTGAGACAAATAAAATGAGTCACAGAGTTAGCAAGCAACCATCACTGTTTACTGAGCCTACTATGTGCCAAACACTATGCTATGAGGTTTGCCTACATTATCTCACTTAATTCTTATAATCGCCCTGCAGGGTGGGTATTATT